GTGGTGTAACCAAAGCCTGAGAGGTAGGGAAAAGCAAGTTCCTTCAGAGCACGGTGTTGTGTCAAATCACGAAGTCCATGATGAGATGATCTCTCATCAGAAGACATCAAATGTCTTCTTTGCTTAAGAATAAAGACTTCTTTTTGTAATTGCATGATTTAAGAAATATGTAATTGTAAGTCTGGTTAGCTCAGTTGGTTAGAGCGTGGTGCTAATAATGATTCTATGATTCTAAGAAAGCATAATTAACACCGTACCATATCACAGTGTATTAAGATTGTATCTAATACCTTCCCAGATGTGACATTGCCTAAAGCTTGAACAGTATTTCAAATCTATTTTGAATATCACATTCATTTGCCAGATACACTGGCTTATCACTTCCCTAGTAGGTAATACTTTCTTGTGCAATTTGTGCTCCTCCAATTGCCTATTGCCCAGCAAATGTCACAGGAGCCAGCCTGTGGCCTCTTGGGGGCCCTCCCAGGCACACCGCCCCGTGCACTTCCCCTAACTTCTTACAGCCTCAGGACTTTGGGCCACAGGTGGTCTAAACCAGTGTGACCGCAATTCTGTCAGTTAGCTAGGCTGACAATAAGTCCTGAAAACTGGCCGAAAAGCTGGTTCTTAGCATTTAGCTCAGGAGCAGGAAAACATATTTCAGCAGCTGCTGAAAGCTGTTAAATACCTGCTTTTAATAGGACTAATTCAAAACAACAAACATTTCTTTGGATTGTGCATTTCTTTCAATGGCCCAATTAATGGGGCTGAGTAATGAATGGAGGCACCAGTGGATTGTGTTTACGCTGCAGTACCGCATTAGCAACCTTTTGGTCCTGCTGCCGAGGCTGTAAAATGCTTTGTTTCTCACAGCGTAAATACTATTATACTACAATTAGGGTTGGATTTACTTACCATTAAGGAGATGTAAATACTCCTGCATTTGGCACTGCCCCATTAAGGGACAGGAGCTGAGGAATGCTGCCACAATACACAGTCAGAGGTTTCTGGGGGGCTTTTCAGAATCCCCCCATAGTCGCTGCTCTGGGGGTGCGGGCTCGGACTGGCACAGGGAAGAGCTGAAAAGGCCAGGGCTAGCAGCAATGACTGCAAGCAGCTGTTCTCCGATGCAGGAGCAACGCTGGGTCGTGCCGTGGAGACGGGACCTTAGTCATGCTTCTAAACTCTGTTCAAACACTAAATGTGTTGAAGGCTTTAGTACAGTTTGGGAACAGGTTCCTTGAAGAAATTCCTGGTATTTCCTGGTTGCAGGCAGGCTGAAAAACACTGTGAGAATGTGGTGGCTTTTGGTATGTCCATTTATGGGCATGAATCAAAGGAACTGCAGGGAGGAAAAAAAGTGGAAAATGAGAGGAAAAATAAGTTAACTGAGCTACTTCCTCTCTCGGATTCTTCTTGGGTTTTGGGCAAAGCCTTACACTGATATTTCATCCCAACTTCTCCTTGCTAACTACTTCCATATGTAGGCACAGTATAACATCCGTTAACGCCACATTTAAGCACTGTTTTTAAAGAACTTAGGTTTTTGGTGGTAGGATGCAAAGTCAGAATGGCTGAATTATTATATGTTTAGGTAAGAATATTACCGTTCCTTCTTACAATTAATGTCCTTTTCAGTGTAATGGTATGAGTGCTTTCTTCAAGTGCTTGCTTCAAATGCAATGTCTGAAAAAGCTATGCTACATGAAAAAAATGCAAATTACCTAGTTAGAGTATGCTATTTCTAGTGGTGTCCAAAAGTCAGTTTTCTCAGCTGAGTCCCTGTCTTTGTGAGACAAACAACTGGATACTGTTCAAAGACTTATTTGTTCCTGTGTGGTTACGGATCATTAAAAGTGGCTCATTCTTGAAGAGTTTCTTAACTAGTGTCTTTTGGATGTTTCTTAGCTCTGAGGAATCTGACAAATTTCCATCTGGAGAGTAGAGCCTATTTCATATGAAAGGGCTATAATCCGTGTCTGTTGTTCACATCTGTGTTGTGTTAGAAAGCTAAGCTGCAAATCCATACAAAAGTGTTATGGCACAAAAATCTGAAATATGATGGCTTACAGTTATTTCACAAATTACTTGATCCTCTGGTCTCCAGCCACCTTGAATTCCTGTTTAATGATTAACTGAGTATCATTTATTAAATGAGTATTGACTTTACAGTGGTCCCTTACCAACTGTATTATTAGTATTGCTGGAGAGCCATTTTAAGGAGCTAGTCATTTCAACAAATATACTTTCATATATGAATGAAATATTTTAAAAGTGCAGTAGCAAATCTGCAGAATAGGATTTTCTGAGGGTGCAAATATCCAAAAGCGAACTTCCAAAACAAGGTATTTTGGAAGGAATGTGAACCAATGTTCTCTCCCATTTAAGTGACTTTGGACTTTTGAACTCAAGTTTTTATTCTTGCATCTATGCATCTTAGGCACAAAGAATAAAATTGGGAAACTTCTTTATGGTTGAAAGGTCCATATTTTAACCATCATTTAAGTTGCCATAAATTCCACACAAGGGCTCCTTTTTCCCAGGATACCTTTGAAAGAGCATCTTACAAACAGCATGATGCCTACCTACAGCTCTAGGAGACCTTATAACAAAGTACTTAAATTTCTTTACCTTTTTCAGAGGTCTAACACTTGTGAAGTGGTGTAAAATGCATGCTTCTGTCAGAAGACTACACGTGTTCCTGGAAGAAAAAGGAGTGTAAATCATTATAATGCAGTGATAGCTGAGATTTATGATCCTTGATATGCTCAAGGGAGAGCAGCAACTTGCTAAACAGACTTGCATATGCAATGTACTTCCTTATTTTAATTCACAGTGGAAACAGCAAACCACCATTGAAATATTCTGACAGGAGGCCTCTTCCATCCTTCTCCACCGGCCTGTGAAGCAGTGTGATAATTTGTCAGGTGGCAGGCAAATCAGCTGCATCATTGCATTACCAGGCAGAGGATAGGTTGTGGTCCCGAGCTGTTTTGGGGGAGCCCCTTTGTGCGTGTCTAATTACAGGTGCCCCTTCCTAAAGTAGGGCACTGCTGCTGCTCTCTGGCCCTGTGGTGGGCACAGGTGGTGCACAGTGCCGGGGGAGGCCACAGCGCTGTGCAGCTTAGGTGTCTGAGACATAGCCCACGCCGCAGAGGACTGGAAGCAGAACCTGAGTGTGAATCTTATGAGCTGGTCATGAGGCTCAAGGTCGATGTTATAAGGAATGGCCATTCACTATAACAATTGATACCAATTTGTAAAAGAACACAAGGCAGAGTTGTTAATGAATGGGCTTGAGCAGCATCATAAACACCCCATCTCTTAATGGCATTAATCCCAACCTGCCAGGTATATTGTGCTTCTTTCTGTTCTTCTAATCCTGAGAGCATCTATAGCAATGGCTATGAATGAAGTCCATGTACGTCCCGTCCTTGCTGGAACTAGAAATGAGAGTTTTCTTGTTATTTGGGGGTGGAGCCACCGTAGCAGTCGGACAACCAGTCCTTGTGGTTGTATGAGCGTTTGAAGTGTTTCCAGGGTGAACTGAACGGCTGCATCACATTCATAACCTGAAAAAAAAAAAAAAAATAGAAAAAATACTGGAGCGTCTCAGGGAGTGTAAGAGCCAGAGGCTACCCAAAACTATTTCATATGGGACACAGAAAGCCACTTCCTCATGCCAGGAGAATTCCTCATATTTTTTAGAGGAAGGGGAAATGCTTCTATGGCCTTGTGCAAAGCCTGGTGAGGCCACTGGCAAGACTCCCATTGACTTCCCATTAGTTTAGGGCTCTGTTGCCCATCATTAGTCAAAGCTGGTGTTACACTGATTTGCCGCTAATGCTAGCTGAAATCAATGGGATTGGAAGGTGCTCAGGAAGGACGGACATTTTTGTAAGCTAACACTCTT